TACGAGCGCTTGGCCCAATAAAATGATTGCCAGCGATTTTTTATGCAAATTGTTTCTTCGCTGCTGCTGTGGTTGTAGTTATGAGTCATGCGCATATTTTCCTTTTAATTTTAAGCTCAACTGTTTTTTACGAGCATCTACGCAAGCAGCATCCCAGCTATTTGTTGTCGTTGTTTTATGACCTGTGCTTATAGCATTTTGTTATGTGGTTGAGTTGAGCAAAGTTAACTGCTGTATCTGTTGTTGAGGGGGTCAGCAAATTGAAGTTGATGTTTATAGGAAAGAGTGTCTAAGCTTTTGGATATTTGCCTGGCTGTTCAAACAAAAGACTGAGGCAATGAACTGTTTCTCACACACACACACACACGCACGCACACATCTGTTACTAGATAGCTTGTTAGCTGTCAAATATTTCCTATCCCTCAATCGAGACTTTCACTAAACATCTCAATATAAAAGTGCTCAAATACATTAACAGTCATTTCATTTAACAAATTTTAGGAAATATGTTTTTTTGCACCTTTCGTGCCGCAATTACCGACTGCGGGGCGCCTCAGGGCCGCCACCAGAAACAGCCAAACAAGAAGCCACATTCAGCGGATTATTAAACGATTATCCACCACAAAAGCCAAAAAGAAATGTAGTTATTACTGATTGCTTGCCCGCCCCCGTTCCCGTCAATTTATCCTTGACTTCTGATTTTGATTTTGGTTTTTGGGCGCATGGCATTGAATGATTCTCGGCCGCTGCTCTTATCTCTCAAATATATCACTCCTTTGGCGAGTTGCCTTATCAGTGAAATGAGCAAAATTGCTGGGTATGGCTTGTCTATAAATGGCTATTGTTTGTATTTTCACAAATGACCAAGTTATGTTCAGATATGAGGCACGTGCCGCGATCGAGAGCGTAGGGGCTTCCCCACCTTTGAAGTCAGCTATACAAAAATAGACCTAAAAATTAAGAGTCGATGTCGGTTTGTTTCAAAGTGAGCAGAGTTCGAATATTGTTGACTATATAGCTTCCATTTGTCATGCCCGATGTGGAATGCATATTGCGGCTCTTTGGCGAATTCGCTTTGCTGATTTCTCATAGACATTTTGTTGACTTTAATGTGAGTTGACAGCTGTGGATGACTTGTGGCTGCCTCATTACTTGCAACAACTCAAAGCAGCAGTGGCAGCAGCAGGTTGCATGCTACATGCTGCATGTTGGTTTGGCATTTCACGAAACGTGAGCGTCAGTTGATGTTGTTGTTGTAATCGTTTCCAGCCTGTCATAAAAAACATAGAAATAAAGTTGTTAACTACTATTGTTAAGCGCAATAGGACGGCGCAAAAAACATTGTCAATATTAATGCTCGGGCAATAACAACAACAACAACAACAACAAGAACAACAACCACAGCAACAGCAACAAAAACAACAGCAACAGCAACGCAAGAATATTTATATGAAGAAGAAGAAGAGGAACAACAAGCAGCAGAGCATAAAAAATAATGACAAACATAAATATCGACTTTACGATTGCAACGTGACTTCATTTAAAATCGAACAAAATATGCAAAATAATACCTAAGGCAACAGCAACAATATACACACACACCCGTACAGCAACGGGCGCACATTTAGAGCCACACGTGCGTGGTCAAGAACCTCAAACCAAATGTGGCACTTGGCTGAGAAATGCAGGAACATAAAAAGACCAAAAAATTATTGGAAATGAGAAACAAACACAATAAAAATAATGACGATAAAAATTAATAAATTTAATGTACCATTATTATTGTTGTTGTTGTTGTTGTTATTGTTGTTGTTGTTGCTGTTTTGTAGCTATTACTTTGTCGCCCCGCAATCCCCTCAGATAACAGTGGCTGTCGCTTTGCATTTTAAAGAGCTTCTCTCCTTTTTGGCAGTCATTTCTTTTCAATTTGTTTAAAACGCGCGGCTCTATTAACAGCCATCAATATGCCAAAAAATAACAAAATTCATAAAAAAAGATGTCAAATTGCCAAATGTTTTTTTTCTTTTTTCATTAATAATTTTTACTTCATTTTTGCTGGTATAATAGACAATAGACAACAACTGCGCTCCAACGATATTGAGCCATAAAATTGACCATTTTCAAATTTGGATTTCGAATTTTGACAGCTGGGCATAAAGTTGCTCATAAATGTCAGACTTGGCTAGCTGACGATGCGCGATGCGAGAGAGACTTAACCAAACAAACCAAAGCAATAACCCATAAAAACCCGGAGTGATCTGAGAAAAATAACAATGGCAAAGGTATCAAAACTGCGGGATATAATAAATTAATCGACTAGATTCTTTACATCGTGAATACTGAATACATAACTGAAATGGACGCCCACACTCAATAGAAATTGATAAATAAAAAATAAACTTGTACTATTTATAGGGCAAATAAAAGTTAAGTGTACCTATAAATAACTTTTCATATATAATGTACACACTGCAAAGTTTCTAGTAAGAATTACAAACAGAAATTACTTGAAGAATTTACAAAAAATAGCAATTAAATAATAACTCATGAATATTTTTATTGCAGAGTGAATAATTCTTTGCGATGGCAAATAGGCCAAATCAATATCAATAAAACATTAGCTTAGAAAAAAATATCGAAGAATTAAACGATAGACAAGCTATATTCCTCGCTTCCTCAGATAGCTCAGATAGCAATTTATGCAAATGGCTTTTGTTGTCGTTGCCATTGTTGTAGGTAATACCCATTTATCGGCGATTGCTAACAACGGCATTTTAATGCTTGAACAATATTGTATAAAATATACAACAACAAAAAATTGAAAAATAACTTTGCGTACGCGCGTATTAAAAAGAATAAAAAAAGTATATAATAAAATTGTACCTGCACATAATTTCACTATGGTCACAAAAAGAACTTGCTAAGGCGAAAGCCCAAAAGAACAGGTTCATAATTGAAATTCATGTTATTTGTTATTGTTGCTGCTGTTGTTGTTGTTGCTGTTGCTGTTGCTGTTTGTCAATGTGTCAGTCTCTGGCCGTGGCAGGCAGCTTGAGGTACTCGCATCAAGTTGCTCGGAACGCAAGTTACCGTTGTGCAGCAGGTCCAAGTTGCTTGTGGCTGTCTCCAAAGTCCAAGTCGAAGCGAACTAATGCCACTGGGCGACCACTTAAAGATTCCGCGACGCTTCGAGGCGACACGTTACGCATTTTTATGAGGTCATTTGCGTGTGAAGCGCACTAAATGCGGCCCAAGTGGCCCATGAGGCAGGTGCTGCTTGCTGACCAGGCTGGAAAATCGAATCCAATTCGATTCGTGGAAATGCGCTAGGAAAAGCCAAATATTGCTCATGCTCGTGTGCCAGAGGCATAATACACAAAAATTATCACACGACACGTTGACCTCAGAGGTGAGCAAACATTTTTCAAGTACCGTTCCAAATACTATCGCTTGTACTTGCTGTTTTATGTGTCGGCATTCAAAAATAAAAATAAAAATATAAAAAAAAAATCAGAAAAAAAAGAAAACAAATTCACACAAAAAACCGCAGCCAATAAAATGAAAAATGCTGGCAAAAATATTGCGGCAAAATAATTTGCCACGCTCGTAAATTTTCAACTCATAAAATTAAACGAACAACGTTGGTGGGTTTCAAATGCGAGTTTGTGTGTGGCTGTGTGTGTGAGTGTGTGTGTGTGAGTGTGTGAGTCAGTGTTGAGCATTTCTCGAATTGAGTCAGATATGTTTTTGGCTTTTTGGTTTTAGTGGTCTTTGGCAATGGCGGCCCTGATCGACACTCTATACTCTTTGATATATTGCTATTGCTACGCAGGCATCATTTGCATGTGAAAAGCCAAGGAAAAAAAGTTTCTCTAATTTGCCAAATGATTATTATGTATGCCTAAACAACGTTAAGTGTTGTCATAAATTAGCTAGTAGACAATTTTTGTTTTCGTTTGTCGTTTGTCGCCGGGTCTGGGTCCTATAAAATGCCCACCATAAATTCTTATAGCCAAAGACGACAATCCATTGAAACTATGGAGTTAATATGGTTTTAATCATTACTAAACACTAATCTGAGAAGTGACCAGAATGAAAACGCACATAAAGGGAAGAAAAATCAAAAACTCAGCCCAAGAAACTCAATCTACTTAATAAATCTGAAAGTTGTATGAAATATAATAAAATCATTGTGAAAAGTAAGTAAAAGTAAAGTGGCCATGTAATTCTGGCCACCTTACTTTCTATAAATCGTGCAACATTTTTAAATTATATTCATTGCATTACTTACAATCTACTTTTCAAAGAATTGAATATAAATTACACTTTGCTAATCATTATGATAAAATCTTACTATGAGCTTTGGTTTTATTAAAAATATATGTAATTGATCTAATTGGAATTTGACAGTTCCTTCGACTATTGGATAAAAACTGATCGACATGTATGTCAAATGAGTTTCCAGACTGAGTTCACTCTATATCGTGTATACAGCTCGTGTAGAATAAATTAATTGTTTGAAGCGCATTTGCACAAAGTCAGCATCGACGTCGACGTCAGCGTCAGCATCACAAATGACTTAGGTAACAAACTTGCATATCAGAAAGCGCATGCGCATTAAGAGCGAAACAATAAAAACAATGGGGTGTATAAAATGTATCAGACGACAAATCTACACACAAATTTGGATGCGAAAGAAACGGTCGACGACGAAAATTAAATTGAAAACGGCTCCACAAAAAGTGATGCGCGTCATAAAAATAAAGAAAAGAAAACAGCCAAATAAAGATAAGCGAAAAGTGGCCAAGAGAAAGATGCGGCTCAAAGTGTTTGGGGGCCAGCGATAAAAATATAATCAAAATTTATGATGGGGCCAGCGAACAAGACTCTGGACTCTGATTGTGGCTCTCGAATCCGATTGCCAGGTTGGACAAATGTATATAAAATACACTATTTACTAACACTTCTTCTTCTTCTCCTTCTTGTTGATATCTTTGCAGTCGCCGGAACTGGATTATCGGCACGAGCTGATGGGACGTCTGCACAAGATCGAGCCGGCCGATGTTGAGCTAGAAGTGCTCGCTGCTGCTGCTGCTGCGGCCAACAACAACAACAACAGCAACACCAATAATAATAACAACAACAGCAGCAGCAGCCAAACGACCAATAGCAACAACAATTCAGCTGCACCACATCATCCGCATCACCATCATCAGTTCCACCACCATCACCTGCATTCGCACCACCATTCGCACACGCATGCGCACCACCATCAACATCATCATCAGCACTTGCACCACAGTCTGCAGAGTGGCGAGAGTGGTGGCACCTTAGATGCCTGGCCGCTCGCAGCATCCAGCTATGCCAGCGATCAGTCCCAGCAGCAGCAGCAACAACAACAACTGCAACAGCAACAACAACAACAACCCGCCGGTTCACCCAATTCCAATTCGAATTCTGCCTATGGATGTGCCCCGCTCTACGATGAAGCGCCCTACGATGTGGCACTGGGCTATGGAGCGGGTGCCAGCAACGGTGTGGGGAATCCAACAACAGGCAGCAGCGGCGAGAAGGAGTATTTGTATGGTAAGTAATACAGAGAGAGAGAAAGAGAGAGAAACACAGAGAGGGAGGAAGAGAGAGATGCTGGCCACACAAAATTACACGCTTGGTGAAATCTCACAAGTCAATGGCAAAAAGCAAAAAAAAAGTAGGCGAGACGCGACGTGTTCGTATATTTGTTAATTTTTTTTTTGGAATCATAGTTTCTATGCCGATTGTGAAATTTGAAACCCAACGAAAATCAGCCTAAGCCCAAGCAGACACGCGGGAGACAAAGTTTCAAATCTCAAAAGACGAACTTAAACTTCAATTTGGGCAGCTTGAAAAGTAGAGACAAGAACGAAATTGAAACCTCCAATGCAAATTGACTAATTTGAGACCTTATGCAAGTGAGAGTTTTGATAATCGTCAACGGCAAACAGACAGGCGAAAAGTCGCATCTAAATATAGTCAAACAAATCGATGGTTGTTTATAAGTAAATTTCATGCATATGCGAGATTTCATTGTTTGCATTATTAATTCCTTAACGTATACAGTTGTAGATTTGCATAAGACATTAGCAGCTTCATTATAAAGCGATTTTCTTTCACAGAAACCAAAAACAAAGAGGCTCTCTTCAGCGATCCATTGGACGATCCATATCAGCGACCCGCGCTCTGGGATGATATTGCCACCTCAATACAGAATATCGATCCAGAGAATGCGCTCATGCTGAGCACCAGCACAGCTGCGAATGGCAACGACAATACAACTGCAGCAGCGGCGACACAGCAGCAGCAGCAACAGTTGTTGCCACAGGTCAAAATGGAAGCAATCGATGAAACTCTGCTCGAAACTTTCTCGACACCAATGCTCAGTCCCATGGAGATTAAAACTGAAAAACAGCAGCAGCAGCAACGACAACATCAGCAGCAGCAGCAGCAATACCACCAGCAGCAGCAGCAGCAACAACAGCAGCAGCAACACTATCAGCAACATTATCAGCAACAGCAGCAACACTTGTACCAGCATCATCCCAGCCTCTCGCTGTCTGGGCTGCCACCCGCTGCAGAAGTTGTCGAGCTGCAGCTACAGCAGCAGCAGCAGCAGCATCAGCGACAGCATCATCACAGTGGCAGCAACAGTCCAAAACAGCCAGCAGGCGACAACAGCAGCAACTCTGCCTCCTATCAGCAACAATACGCATCTCAACTGAACAGCGGATCAGGCGCAGCATATTTAAACAGTAGCAGCAACAGCAATAGTGGATCTACTGGTGGCACCACCAGCAGCGTTGTCGTCACCAGCAGCAATACCAGCAGCAGTAGCACCAACAACAACAGCTATGGCTACAGCTGGCACAGCAGTCAGGTAAGAATCTATGCAGCAATTGTTGTTGTTGCAGGAAAAGCAACTTTATATTTCTATCCCTCGCTCCCCTTCCCCTTTCTTTTTGTAGACGTTTCACACCAAATACCAAATACACCCGCCATCTGCAACAACAAACACTGCCACGCCCACAGCTCAACACCTGCTGCAGCACCAACAGCAGCAACAACAACAACAACAACAGCAACAGTTGCAGCAACAACAGCAGCAGCAACAGTTGCAGCTTTGTCCGCCCGCCGCGCCAAGCACCCCCTCCGCCACATCGGGCTCCTCCTCCTCGTCGACGGGCTCTAACTCACAGCGTCACATGTTCGTGCCACCGTTGACGCCACCCAGCTCAGATCCCGGGAGTCCCGGCGCCTCCATGGTGGCAGCTGCTGCTGCTGTCGCTCAGGCGGCGCAGAGACGCAGCACACCTCCGCCGCCCTATCAGCAGCTCGTTGGCCTCTGTCCCAGTCTAGTGAATCCGGCGCCGACGCTGCAACTACTGGGCGCTGCCACGCCTACCACCACGCTCACAACGCTTACGTCCGCTGGAGCAGCCTCTGGAACAGGAGCAGCAGCAGGTGTTGCAGTTCAGCAGCCGGCACCACCCCCACCGCCGCCGCCGAGCAGCGGACGACGTGGTCGCCATGCGCATCATCAGCCGGGGACACCGGCGCACATTGCGAGTCTGATGAGCGTGCGAACTGTCCGCTACAATCGGCGCAACAATCCGGAGCTGGAGAAGCGTCGCATCCATCACTGTGATTTTGTGGGTGAGTGCCGACGATTTATCTAACAGCTAACCTTCAGCTCGACTTCATCTAGCTGCTTTCGGATGCACTCCATGTGCCTCTATCGTTTATCATTTCGCGCGTTTTGCGACACTTTTTCATAACAGAGACTAGCTCTGCAAGCTTAGACCAGCCCCCACCCACTCCCCTACTTATATATCTAGCTATTTTGAGCAGTCTCATTGCGAATGCGTTCAGCGTATTTCCAATCGCCATTTATTTATTCCCCATTTATCTATACATTTATTTATTATCTTGCCGTCCGTCTGTCGCCCGCTGTGCCTATTGACAGTTGTTGTGGCGCTTTTTCCTCTTTTGTAATTCTAATTAGCCTGTGCCATATTTATGTAAGAGACTCTCTTTCTATTTGTTGTTGTTTTTGGTTTTTTTAACTGTGCGCAATGTTTCTTGCTACAGTTGCATTTTCAATATCAGCCTGGTAATCTTGAGAACTGAAAGCTAAGAACATTTGAAATTGTTGAAGAAGATTAGCCGACAAAAAAGTCTTAGTACATAATACATAAAAAATTTGGAAACAGAGCTTTTTTAAAAGACTGGGTAAATGCTAAAGATCAAATAGGTATTTCAACGAATTACTTCAATTAGGAATTCAAATAAAGATCTCTTGAACAAAGCAAAGCATTTAAGTGAATATAAGCCAAAGATAAAACATAGATTGAGAATCAGCGTTCAATCAAAATTCGGTTGCTCAGTCCATTAGCAGTAGGCACAAATCTATTTCTAGGGATGAGGTGAAGGGAGGAGTGAAAAGCACTTAACCCGCAACTAGTATTAAATGCGACGTTGTCTAGCCAAGTGATGGTCCGTCCGTTCGTCCGTACGTCCGTCCGTCCGTCTGTCCGTCACTGGCGTCGTCTCCGTCTCCGTCGACGTCTGCGCTGTCTTTGTTGGCTACGTGCGTTGCCACTAATAAATAATTGACAATTGTCTGACACGTTTGGCGTTGCCATTTTTAGACAAAAAGCGCACAAAATATTAGAGTTGGATTGGATTGCTTAGCCAAGCTCGCAAGCAGGCTACAAAAATGCTGTCTAAATGAAGTTATTATGCCATAAACGCACGCATCAGACTCACAGACTATGTTGCCTCCACATTCGAATCGCAGTCGCAGTCGCAGTCGAAGTCGAAGTCTTACAACTTGCAACTTGCAACTCGAGATTGCTGACTGCCTCGCATATTGCATAGTGAGTTATGTCTCAGAAGTTCACTCTGGCAGAGCATGTGATCAACAATCCTCCTGATCGTAGTAGCTCCACAGAGTCTCCGAGCCAATCACGCGTCTAACTGTCATCGTTGTTGTTGTCACTATTGTTGCTGTTATTGTTGTTGCTGTTGTCGACTGTTGTTGGCGTCGACGCAACATTCTTGACTCGCTTTTTAGCTATCAATTCGCTTTGGCCATGTTTGTCTACGGTGGCTTACGGGTGTTTTGCTGCCGAGTATTTTTAGCTGCTGAGTTGAGTTTTTGGCATTGTGCCTTTTCTATATGCTAGGCACGTTGCAGTCAGCTTTCAATTAGAGCGTACGTGCTGGGATCTCTAAGCATCCTTTTAAGTGCCACATAAATGTCTCAAGCTGTGCAAGTGAATCTTGTGCAACTTTCACCAGCTACAGCAATAGCAACAACTACAGCTTCAGATACAGATTCAACTACAGCTGCACGGGGCTTAATTAAAGGCTCGATTGTGGCAAGGCGTCGCAGCGACGCCCACTGACCCACTGCTGAGCCGCTGCCACAACTGCACAGCTGCACTTTGCAGTGTGCCTCTTTTCTCATAGTCATCTTATCAAGATTGTGCATTTGGGTGCTCGGTGCTCAGATAAATTGCCCATTCAATTTGGCACTCTGACAACGAGATTCAGCTTACCAACATATATGAACTGCTTTAAATTGTTAAACTACAGTTAACAAACAGAAAAATGAAGAGTTCATAATTAAAGCCACACTCGGCGTTGCTTGTTAGTGTTTAATTTCATCAGCAATTACAGATGAGAATTAAGTTTGATATCTTAATAGACAGCTTCAATGCTTATTTAGTTTTTCGTAATGATTTTTAATTAAAAATCTGTGTAGATTGAGGACAAATATTTAATATGAAATAAAGTGTTATCAGTTTCTAACTTTGCTAAAATGTAAGATGTGCCACATATATATTTTAGAGCTCTGCATTAATAATAATCACATAACCTACATAAGCTTCCTTATATTCTACATTGTTAATCTACTAAGCCCACTTTCTTTTTCTTGTATTCGTCTTGCAATTGCAGGTTGTTCCAAGGTGTATACGAAGAGTTCGCATTTGAAGGCACATCAAAGGATACACACGGGTGAGTTCTTATTATTAATATACACAGATCCACCCACCACCCAACTAGTTGTTGTTATGAGGCGCCGCCGGGCTTGTCCGCTGTCACACACATTAGTTTTGCTGGCCGCTTCTCTGGCCCCGTAGCCAATGTAGGCGTAGGTTTGGCTTATTACCACAGCACCACTGCTGACGATGAGCCACTGAGTGGTGCACAGCTGCGCTGCCTTATTTCGTTCGAAAGAGCGTTGAGCAACCGAAACGGCGGAAAAAAAGGCTTTTGATTAATTCGCGCGCTCATATTTGTAGTTGCCAGCACATAATTTGCCAAGAGCTTCAAGCGCTTTTTTTTTCAATTTCGGTGCAGCGCGCAACCACAAAAATCGTGATTTCTACGGTTTGCTTTTTTTTGTGTTGTTGTGTGCGGCTTTTTGTGGTCAGTTGCAACATAAGGCATCCACAACAGCAACAGCAACATCAACAATCGCCAACGCCATCAGCTGGGCGCACGTTTGGCCTGCATTTCCTTCTTGCTCAGATTACACTTGACGTTATTTTTGTTTGCTGTCTGCCCTGATCCCTCTCTCTCCTCTATCGCCCTCTCTCATCTCCCTCTCTTTCCCTCTCTCTGACTCTCGTACTCTCTTTCTCTCAGTTCATTGCCTGCCAGCCAGTCTGCCTGTTGTTGGATGTTGATCACCTGTCTTCGCTTTATGGGCCACACGTTTTATGCCCCCTGATTCGCAGTTTGCGACTTTCAACTCTCGACCCAGCCCCAAAAACTCAGTCTTCAACTGAATGCCAATATGAAACGCAGCAGCAGCAGCTCTCCTTCAGTGTTTTATTAATCGCACATGACCAGCTGATTTATGCGCAAACTTAAAACGCTGCACTAAAAACAATTTTATTATTATGATATTTTTTCTTTTTATATTACTCTGATTTTGACTTTACTGATAAACTTAACGCCCCAACCAAGGAAAACAAAATATATATGAGGGTCGATATATGATCGTGAGTGATTGGATCAAGGTGAAGTTCCAAATGCCGAATAGGGAAATACCCAACACTCTCTCCTTTTGAATAGACTACTAGCGAAAATGGATATTGACCCACATTAAAACTGTGTTCGCATTGTGTCGCTGAAAGTGAATTCTTGACTCGATTCAGTTTCATGAATTCTCAGGGAACACTTTAAATATTAAAGTTCAAGATCTTAAAACCTATGTGACCATATTACAATTTGAAATATTAATGTTCCACATTTCTTTGCTTATAAAAAAATTCTTTAAGCTGTTTTCTTAATTAAGGAGGAATATAACTCAGACACATACCATTTGATAAAGTCTTCTTCCAAAACTTTTATAATCATATTCTCCAATAATTTCATGCATTAAAACTGCCTCATTTTTTAATTGAGTATTTCTGTCTCTCTTCCTTCGTTAGCTGCACTTGATTTTGACTGCACTCCATGCCAAACTATCTGTATCTAGTTAGTTGATTTAATTGTCTTCCACCCGCCGTGGGCAAGCACGAAAGCCACTTCTTTGAGCATTTGGCTCAAATCTCTTTTCGCCAGCAATTTTCATAGTAGTTTTATTTCGAGTGGCAGTCTAGCATTTGTGGCTACCGTCTGATGGCTGTCCATTTGTTTGGCTTTCGACTTGGTTAACGTTGTCGTCACACGCCCCGCCTATAGGCGCAGGCCAAATAACCAAAGCAAATACACATTTTTCATGCAATTTTGATGCTGTGGCATCTTGTGGCGCCAGTCGCCAACTGAGTGTTGTCTTTGCTGATTAGCAGCGCTGGTAGCTCAAGTGCCCGGGCCGGACACTTGGTAGAGTTATTCAGCTATAAATACATGTGTAATACTATTTGCAGCGATTGCCGGCTCCAGTTTGTTGCCTAAGTCTTTTGTTTCTTGCGCTTGCTCGCTCGTAAATTTGCCTTTTTTATTTGGGCTTTTTGTTGTTTTCTGGTCGCAGCGATTAGAAAATCACTTGGTAACTAATCTTTATGCTGCTAGCGAACGCATAAATTGTACATATCGCAGTCCCTATGTGTTTGTGTGCGTGTGCGTGTGTATGTGTGTCTGCATTGGAAGATTGGAACTGGAAGACGGCGACTGACGGAGCATAGATTGCCCACCGGCTGGGCTTATTTTGTACTGATTTGTTTGCTAATATGTTCGCGCTGCCATAAATTAGTTTGATTTTATATAGGCCCCAACGGCAACGACTGGAGGAGGTCCGGTCTGGTCCGGGACAGTGTGGCCTGCGGCTAGTCTTGGCTAGACTTGGAGTTCGCTCTTTGGGCTTTAATTTATTTGCGTATATTTATATTGTTAGTGCATGTTGCGGTTATCGCGCTATACGTTCAAATTATGAAGTAATTTCGACGACTCTTATCGCATTGCGTTCATCGCACATTACAAAACTACATTTACATAACTTTGTTTGTTGTTTTCTTGTATTTTACTGGTTGCCCCGGACCAGGCCTCGGGTTTGGGTTCGATGCTGATCTTTATTTTAGTTACGAGCGATTTCAATTTTGCCATTGCCAAATGGTATTCCCACGAGATCTAGAGTTGTTATTATTGCTGTTGTTTTTGTTGTTGCCGTTAATTTTTTGGGCAGTTTTTGTGTTATGACTCACCATCAACTACATCAGACAAGCCATTTATCAATGTGTTGTATTTTTGGGCTGTAAACAACAAAGCTTCTTACACACGTATACACACAAATACACACAAGCACGCAACGCAAGTGTCGATAGGTAAATTTTTGATTATGTTCAGTCATCTCGAGGCACTTAAATTCATTAAAAGAGATCTAAATAAACCAATAAGTCATGCCACGAGTCCGTCCCATATTGAGTTTCTATTCGAAAATCCCTACAAAAGTGTCAGCTGAGTGCCACTTCAAGCTTCAAGTTGCACACCCCCTCCCTCACCTTCTCACTCAATCCTCACCCTACTCAAGCACTCGTCTGAAGAGGCATTTCAGGCTAAAGACCCAACTGGCTTTGTATATGCGCACTGTAAAATATAAAATAACAAATAACAACAACAATTATAATGATTGCTGCTTAAAAAAATGTTGTGAAAAGGGCTTAGATGAGCTTAGATGATGCGAAGTGTGAAGATATTGGCCTAAGACATCATCAAAGCTTTTTGCAAGGTTACATTTGTTTAGGCTTCACTGTAAGACACAAGAATTTGGATTAATATAATGAATTCCTCAGTTATTTTTGCATGTTGTAGACTCAGAATCTATTGAGAACCAAATGTGGAGAATTAATTATTTCCACAATCCACAGACAATTCGATTGGGTCGACAATCCAATTGTGGAAGCATATTCGATACGCTACACAAACTCAATTGATTCGATTGCAAGACAATAATGCTTGAATAATGCCATAAAATGTCAAGTTCACCAAAAATTCGAAAAGTCCGCAATAATTATTTCATTCAATTTCAATTTGAACACGAATGTTTATGTTTATGTTTATGCTGAAGCGTACGTAATGTAATGCTCAAAGCACACTGATAGCCAAGGTAGCTAACAACAAAAACAACAACAGCATAGCCGGCAAACAACGGTCCCCCGTTGGAGGGAATTAGTCATGGAGCAGCGGACAAAGTTTTTTGGGCACCGGCCGGTCGCATTTTTGGCCAGCTAACAGCTAACTCGACTCATGAGCTGAGGCAAGAGTTACTTGCAAATGTCGTCGTGTTGTTTCTTGTTGTTGTCGTTGTTGTTGTTTGTAATGGGCCATCGTCAGCGGCAAGTCGTGTGCCAAAATAAAAAATCCAAATCATAAAATACGAGACGGAGAGTGACTCGGACTGCGAATTGACTTACCATTTGCTCCAGCTGCCGTTTTGTTGTCGTCGTTGTTGTGTTATTGCCGCTGTTGTTGTTGTTGTTGTTGTCGTCGTGTTGTTTTAGTTCTCCTAACATGAAAATTCAATGAAAATGTTAATTTGTGAATACATGGCTGCAGCTGAATACATAAGTACATACACAACACTACTTGCACTGGCATATGTCAACGCAAGACAAGAAGCACTTTGATGACATACTCCAAGTGCCTCCACTTAAGCTGTAAAATATTTGAAAATTTGTGTAGCTCTTGAAATATATTTTGTCAAATGCTGACTTACTGATTTCGTTGCATCTGTCTGTGTGTCTCTTGCAGGTGAAAAGCCCTACACCTGCCAATGGCCCGAGTGCGAATGGCGTTTTGCTCGCTCCGATGAACTGACGCGACATTATCGCAAACACACCGGCGCCAAGCCCTTCAAGTGCATCGTCTGTGAGAGGAGCTTTGCGAGGAGCGATCACCTGGCACTCCACATGAAGCGCCACCTACCGAAAAACAAGTGAGCAGAGAGAGAGAGAGAGAGATCGATCCCGATCGGTGGCTACAAAAATCAACTATATCACAATCCAAAGGACTTTAGTTAAGCGTCAAATGAAATTCGTTTAGTAAATGGTTACTACTACTACTACTACTACTACTATATTATAATAGTATCCTGAAAACCTGAATACTAATTAGTATAATACAATACAATATACAATATTCTAGAGCTTTCACTTACACTAAATCCAGAGAGTGTGCGGCATGAAAGTAAAGCTTTTTGTCTCAAATTATAACACAAAAGCTATTTCAGCTAGCATCGATTTATAGTTCAAAAGTTTATCAGCATTCTCCCTCTCACTAACTCTCGATGTAAATCGCGCGTAAAATTAAGTAAATGAAATTTCCACCTGCTTAACTTAATTTAAATGCAAAACTAACTCTAAGCACACACTCCTAACTAACGATAACTCGTATAACTAACATATCCACATCATGAATTAGATCACTTTTGAGTTGTTAATTTCAAGAGAATCCCATCGATTCTCCTCAACTCTCATTTTAGTCTAGTGAGAGTCCCGTGTATTAAAGTGCATATAGTAGTATATATTCATATTGATCCTTGTATACTTCATCTAAATCAATGATAAGTTGTAGGACAACATTCTCGTATTCGCCACGTGTCATTATTGTCGCCTAGTTTCTGTATAGTTTCCCTTAGCCATAATATAATGTTAGTATATATGTTAGTCTGTAATTTAATCTATGTATGACTATGTATGTATGTATATGGTAGTTGATACTACTTACGTAGCTAGCGTATTATGTTTGTAAGCTTATGTATGTGTCTCTATATCGTTTCTAAACACCAAAAAGTGCTGGCACAAAATCATCAAATAATAAAATGTTTTTGAAAAACCAATGCCTCTGTTTATTCCAATAAATATCTAACAGAAAAAATAACGCTAATTCTCTTTGGGATATTCCATTCAGAAATCGATTGTATTTTATATTATGTTGTGTGTGTGTGCTCTTTTCGCGTGGGGCTACGAGGCGTACATAAATTGCTAAACGTCGATGATAGAGGCCTCTATCACAAATTCATTGCCAGTGTCAGACATGTGCAATGGCATTCCTGAATTTGATATTTACTGCAGTCGCATATGCATTACATACGATTATTAACGTTTCCCAGTTACGTGAGTGGCAACGCAATGCTTTTGGATTGAAAGTTTCTCTGGCAATTGTCCATAGATTAACACAATTTGGCAGGCGATTTGTTTTTTAAGGGGACGGGAGGGATCTTTAGGAAAACTCCACACGTCAGTTAACAGTTAGGTTATTAAACAATCACATAAAGTACATACATATGGCTTTATTTAACAGACACACACACATGTACAATTTATGAACCACAAATAACTAAGAGACAATAATTTCATTTAGATGAGAATGCAAAGCCGATAAGTGTGACCCCATGTCGAAGTTGGGTACTCAATTGCTTTTTGTTGTTATTCATGTGATCATTATCAAAATATTTTGTACACGAAACAAACATGTCAAGCAAATGTGATACGTTTGTTGTTGTTATTGTTGTTGTTGCTGCTGCTGCTTCAAAAAATTTTCAAAAATAAAAATAATAATTTCAATTGTTGACTGCATATTTTTATTATTTTTTTTTTCTTGACGCGTCATGTTGTTTTGATTGTGACGATAAAATTATTGCCGTTGTGTGTGCCGGTTCGAAATTATAAATCGTTTGATTTTTATGAGACTCATTTAATTTATGAGTTTCAAACAGAAAGAATGAACGTCAAAGAAACAAAACGCACCAAAAAACCAGTTCATTTGTCAAACTATTGGACACGTGTTAAGCAACTAATTTAGATGCGATGATATTAAACGATGAGCTGCTCATAAGCATACTCGAAACCATCTTTCACATTAACCCTTGAATTTAGTTTGCTAGCTGAGCTGAGCCCACTCAACGCTTGCCACATGACTTTGCTCAGCATCCATCAAAACTTTTTAAGTTCAGCTCTTCACGTGGGCGTCAAGCTCAGCCCATCTCTCTCTCTCTCTCTCTCTCTCTCTCTCTCTCTCTCTCACCTATGTATCTTGACTTGTCAAGTACGAGTATCTTCAATTGTTGTGCGTTTTGCTGATTAATCATGTTACCACTGACAGCTCAACTTTGCGGGCAAGCTGCTTATTAAATTGGCTTAAGATTGCTAGATAAGCGCAATAAAAAAAAAAAAAAAAACATAAGACACAGGCACAGATACAGATACAGATACAAATGCGAGTACATATATGGTAAACAGATGAGCATGCAGAGTACGTGTAGGTATTTATGAGGACCCCACATATTGATAAATGCACAAAACGCAGTCACTCTGTGCACCCACTTGAAAATCGGAGTCGGAACAAAAGCGAGCTGAGATTCATTTGAAATTCGAAATTGATGCGATTTCAGTCAGATCGCGTGTGTCTCTCTGTCTGTCCCTATCTGCCTGCGATTGATATCGCTTATTATTTCAATTAATTCGTACGCTTTTGTTGTGCTTATTTAATACACAAAGAGATTAATTGTGCATACAAATACTTACATTCAATTGATTGCCCGTGTGGGTGGATTGTTGATATTATACCAAGCTGGTAAATGTGTCAGTGGCACGTTGCACACATATGTATATATGTATATATATATGTATGTACTACATTTTGTTATACATAGGAAGTCAATGAATAAAAATTTAGGTACATAAAGATTAAATTGTATTGCCAATCAAAATCATCACTGACTTTCATTTAATTAAATTATTTGTTGTGTAATAAGAAAGAAAGGCAAATGAGTGGGTTATGCTTTATTCATAGAAAATGCACAAATTGGATAGAATTAAATTTATACAGATATGGAATATATATTATTAATACACTCCAATTGATCATACACGACTATTAGATTCATTCATATTTTCTACCCCTTCTTGAATATGACTTCATTAACAATTGTTAACCATTTCAAATCCCTTTCGTCAATTTGTTTAGTTATTATAGTAGTTAAAAAGCTAAAATAAAAAGAGAAAATATTGTTTATTGCATTCCGCAGCTGTAATATCTTCTTTGTGAATATGAACTCATATGTGAAGCTTCCGCAACAACTTTTACTTTCAATGCAGGCAGCGTCCAGCTGTGTGGCATAAGAGACACCCACTATTGGTTAACCCACACATGCCGCATGCCGCATGCCACATGCCGCAGCAGCAACAAGAGCAAGCGGGTTCATCCATTTTGGGCCAACAGCTGAAACATGCAAAAGTGCCCATTAGCAAATGGGGGACGCACTCGTGTCGTGTTTTGCTCGTGTCTCGTAGCCAATGCTCAGTCTGTCTGTGTCTGTGCCTGTGTATATTTGTTGCCTGTCAGACTGACAGAGGGGCGCAGCCGCAGGCGACGACACAGGCGCAGAGGCCTGCCACCAAAAACCGAAACCGAAAACCAAAAACAGGAACTCCTCTCGTAAAATGCTAACTGGCCCAATGCTTGCCCCAGACGGGCGACAGACAGCACGCGAGGGGGTGAGGAGGTGAGGGAGGGGAGGTGGACTCGAGGCAAGGCAACGCGTGTTGCAGCAACAACTACTTTGCATACACGCTGCACATAAACAACGCTGACTAAAAACGGCGACAACTATAATTAAGCTTAATTGCTGTTTAATGTGAGCCACGTAGACACGGAGACAGACAGACACGGAGACGAAGACGGAGACTCACTTGGAGTCGGATGCGGAATCGGAGTCAACTCCTTGGACCGATAGTTTTTCGCATTTGTCAAGCGCCCACGCAAGTGACAGTGACTGCTAAGCATATCACACTTACACAAATGTATATCCATTAAAGTTTAATTTAATTATACTTATAATATGAAAAATGTATGCAATAAACTGGAGTAGAACCAGCTCTTTGACTGTATAATCTTATGTAATTGAAAAAACTCGCTTATCTATTGGCATTATTGTTTTTGGAGTGTCGGGGAAATTAATTAGCAATTAAAAATGCAATGGACTGGCCTCTGCACCTCTAATCCATTGCATAGAAACACTCGTAATTCATATTTATAAATAGGCAAACATTATTCAAGGTGTCCGAGCGACTCGAGAACCGTAAATTAAATCAAAAACAAAATGAAAACAATATGGTTAGAATTTATAACGAAAAAAAAAGGTTGAGAATAAAATAAAAATAAAGAACAAAAAGGCAAGCCTAATGCAAGAGCACCGAAGTGAAAATACACTCTTTTCTTGGCCAGCATATGTAAATATGCCCTTTAACAAGTGTTCAAGTGTCTATTCATTTATGTGTATCAATAAATTTGCTGATTGTATTTAAGCAGCTCTAAGATGAAATATGAAATGCTTACCTCTTTATGATGTAACCACTGCCACATGAAATCTGTAGAGACCTGCTGAGAAGGGTATACGAGAAAAAAAAACCCATTTGGTCCGTGGCCGCCCACAAATTGGACTTGGAATCGTTTTCCAGGCCCCGACAACAGCCGGCAATTGGAGGTTGGGGGTTGTTGCAACTCAGCAACAACTGATCAGCTTGCCAGTTGGTGGCAGGGGCCGGCGTGTGACTCAATCCCAAAGCGCATGCTACTCACCCAGCTGCAGTTGATCGACCGAGCGATCGGTTGATTGGCGACCCAGTGGCGACGACTGCTGCTGCTGCATTTGGCAATGAACTTTTCGATATCGAAATATTTATGTATATATATATATATATATATGTATGTATGCATGGGCTAAAAGGTAGATACAAATAAAATCGAGCTTGGCGCTGCCAATTTGACTTTGAACTCGGTCAAATCGAGACACATTTGAAGCTGTTTGCATATTTAACCGAACACCTACAACAGTCACAGCCACAATAACTACAACTATGTACAACAAAAGCAACAAGAGCGAAAACAAATGGTCTGCAGCTGTGTTGGCATAATAATAAGCATTATAATCAGGCGCAAAAAAGGCTCAATAGGCCAATTGGCTGCCGGCCAGCTAAATGTACAGTTACTTTGTCAAAAGCGCTAAGTCGTGCCTGACAAAATAATGACCATTTATGCATAAACTTATGGCCTTTCAGCCAAATCTCAATATCTCAACAAAAGGTTCTGACAACTGACTTCCATCACGGAACAAGCTTCGAATTACGAATTTCGTATATACAAATTTAAGGTTATCCAGAATAAAATATTTTCACAGCTTTTTTTGTGAAACAGCTACAATTTATGTACACATAAATTCTTCATAAATTTCCCATCACGTATTATTTAGTTTATATTATTAGTTTATATCAGGGTGTCAAACCGGAATCGGAAACCAATTGAAATTCAGAATCGGAATCGGAACATCAATTTCGAAATTTTGTTAGGAACCAGCTACCAGAAATAAGTGTATACACACTCTTGCTTTCCTTTCATGATTTCCTTACTAATAATATAAGTAACCACTGCCTTAAGTTTTTCAGGGTTGCAATTCCGATTGACACAATCGAAGCAAATGTGTGAATATTGCTTGACAAAAACTTGGAAAGTTTTTAGTAGAAAGGTAAGTCTTTGCCAATCGCTTGTTAAATATGTAAATGCTTTACAGACCCAACATTCAGCAGATCGAATAATTGCAATAATGCCCCGACGCAGCGAGCGCTTGCGCACAATTCGAGAGGCATCCACCAGGAATTCTGCTGTTTGCGCTTGGTCGGCAGTGATGGTGAGTCGTCTTCGTCAGCGGCGCTTGCAGATACTGCTTAAAGTGGACAATTTCCAGACGGCGTCCAACAATAGTGATAATGACTTCATCGAAGTCGACATATCACAATTCATAGAGTTGCCTTTTTTCCCCGGTAAATTGGCCAAGTCTTTATCACTGTGTTCGCCGAACAATCGTCATTTTAAACGAAATATTCGCAAGTTGTGGAAAATAATAGTTTTTTTTATTCGTCATTTGTGTACATTTTAATAATATTATATTTTCCATAACAAATTATGTATGTAAGTAGTGGTAATAAATGCGGGACAGGCGCCCCCATTTCCTGTACGCTTATTGAACTTTTGCTCTGTCCTCCTCATCTGCCGCATATATGGATTACCGGATTGGATTGTCTGATGCAGTTGTGGTTGCGCCTCCGTATGATTAATTGCCTGGCACGCGATGGCGATGCCAATCGGCTGGCCCAAGTGACAAAAATCAATGCGCTGCAAATGTGCGAGATGAGGTTGCCAGGCTGCAAGTGGCACTCAAGCGGCTGCTGCGATGCATCGTGTGAGTTACTCAGAATTACACGTCTCATAAATATTCAGGGTAGCCAGATCTCGATTCTGTGTACTGTGTACTGTATGCGGTATGCTGTATGCTGTATGTCATTTGGCAACCTGTGCCCACGCAGACGCTTATCAGCTGCCAACTATCGCCAGTCGAGACAATTCTTCTTCGGAATGTAATGTGTAATGAAACGGAAGTTGCCCCACTATCAATCTCAATTAAATTGATTGCCACTGAACGCAGCAACAATAATTATATATATTTATTTATGTGTATGTCTAGGTATATACAGGAGTATTAATAAAGTTGAGACCTCAATGTGCGGCAAGTTAATTAAAGCAATTTTATTGGAAATCCTGATAATTCTTCACTTTCATTATCAAGAACTTGGAATGTGTATTCAAATATGATATTTATATATATATATATATATTCGATTTAGAAGTCTCTCGATCTTTTTATATTTGATCTTTATTTATTTTAATTGAAACTGGACTCAAAACTCAGAAGAACAAAAAACGAGTTTTAAATTCAAATCCTAACGCCAATCAATATTTTAGATATTTTTTTCTTTGCACATTCCCAAAAAATTAAAGCGTTTACCATATTTATTTGCATAGTTGCTTTCAAAATGAATCTTAATAACATACTCAGAATATGTGTTAAACAAATTTCAGGAATTCCAATTTCAAAAACAAATACATATTATTGACAGCTATAGCGGACATGGCTTAAAAATAAATTTGTGCAATAGCTGCAATTTTGGGTGCAAAAATAAAGCCAGTTGATAATTTCAAACAGTTGGCTTGGTCTAAATTGCGCACATCCGTTGGATTGGCAAGAGGAACCGCAATAATTTGCCGCAATATGGCTTAAATAAACGCAAAAGCGTCGCAACATTTGGTGTTGGTGTTGGGGTTGTGCCACTCGACCTGGCTGAGAAGTGGCAATAAACAAAGCCAAGAGCACGCGTTATTTTCTGCACATTTCCATGCAAATGGTGGCGGCAAATCAGCGCAAATGAAAGAAGCAGCGACAACAGCAAAAGCAACAGCAACAACAACAACATAAGCAATTGCCAATTGCGTGTTGCACAATCATTGAGAGCAGGAGAGGCAAAGCCAGCAATTGCCGGCCTACACAGACCGAGACAGAACCCAAGAACATGACATCAAATGGCAAACAAAGAGCAATTACTACAACCAAGTGTCTCGTCGAAGAACTCGAACTCAAACTCAAATCTCAATGGTTCCAATCCGCACATGGGCGAACGAGCAGCATTAAAAAGCCCACGATGCCAAGCTGACTCACATTGAAAAAAAAAAACGGAAAAATAGAGATGCGTTGGACGTTGGACGTTGGCTTGAATTGGAATGGGAAGCGGTATTGCGACTGTTGCATGCCAACACAAAACTAAACGTTGCTAAACTAAAAACGGGCACATATTTATCACACTCGAGGCAATAGCTGAGTGGGTGGGTGGGTGATGATTCCCCTGCCTCCTAATGTCCACTAATTAATGATAATGTCAGTAGCGAATGTGGCGAGTGCAGTAGTGGTAGTGCTAGTCAGTTCCACAGGTCATCAGTTAACGTTTTCATTAACCATATGTCACACGCATGTCCTACAGGACAAGAGCAGCAACAACAGCAATAACAACCCTCGGGCAACCCTCGCTGAGCTGGGAACCCTTGAAAATTAAATTATGCGCTTGGTCGCGTGTCCTCTACACAGTTAACAGTCGGCGAATGATGAGTCAAAATACATATAAAAAAGAAGCAAATGAAAATGAAAATAAAAATGCATAGAGTTCTACTATTTTATCTGCACCCTGCCCACTCTCCTTATGGGTTTCCCACTCGTTCCCATTTCTCGGCTATATTCCCTTTTCTTCCCATAAATTTTAGAAGCTCCGAGTCCAGTTGGACAGTTGGTTTGTTACGTTGGCCAGTTGTGCAAACTGTTTGCAGTTGGCGCGTGTTTCGGGCCAGAAAGGTGTTAAAACTGTGCCACAAAATTGTTAATGCCTGGGGTTGTTTTTATGACCGTCTGACTTTTTGCCTCGACATACTACTCACTATCTCATGAAGAGCCCGATATAATTACGCATTTTGTCGACAATGAAGTTTATGTTCTTTTAGAACGCGCGTGCCGGATATGTATTTGTGTATATAAATATATATATATATATATATCTATATAGATATTGTTGGACGAAAGATGGGCGAGTTTTTTTTTTATTTTTTATAAAGCTGAGACACGCAATACTTGAACTAGGGGTTAATATTTCTCGTTTTCGCTTTTATAAACTGTGAAGACCCAAATAATTATGAGCGGCACGCATTTAGCTCCAGATACACAATTCGTAGCTGATTTTGAGAGGGCTGAAACGAGAATCAGTTCTAACCTAATACTTCGCGTCACGAATTCGAGAATTCCCATTTATCTTAAGAGTTTTGTAATCGTAGTTGCAATTCTCACATTTATTTCATAATTCATTTCGTACACCTTCAACTCAATTTAACCCAATTAACTATTAACCTAATTTACATACAAGGCTCCATTCCCAAAACTTGCACATCACGCCGCACACTTCACATAATTAACTCGAGCAAAAAGCAAAAAAAAAGTTAAAACTCACGCATTTGGCAAAAAAAAGAAGAAAAAAACAGTGAAAATTGGCAGCCTCAGTTACATAATAGTTGGATGTGGCTGATTGATGGATTGGCGAGTGGGATCAAAGTGAATCAGAGACCAAAGAAGCCACTTGGCCAACTCAAAAAGAGTAATTCAATTGCTTTATAATTGAACTAAGGAGGCGAGACGAGGCGCTGAGTTCCACTTCGGCATCGCTGTGGATTGAAGTTTGGGTTTGAGCTGCTTTAATGAGTTAGCATAGAGAGACGGACAGACGGCACACATGGCTCAGCAGGTTTGCACTGGTCTAGCCGCCAACGTTGGCCAAGTTAATAATTTAATGGTCAACGTTGTAATTTTTATACAAAAAATTGTTCAATAAACGGGCTGGCGCAAGGCTCGCGTCCGCATCCAATTCAATTCAATGCGATTCGATTCAATTCAATTGAATGCAATTGTAATTGTAATTGAAAATGGTTTTTAATGCCGAATTAATAGAAAAATTTGTTGTGGCATGCGGCGTGCGGCCAGGTGTTGAAATTCGATGATACGATTCATTTGCCTCATGATGGATGACCCTCCTAGTCATTACTTAGATACTCGTATTCGTATGATGTGGGCGTGGCCAGCGCCCACGCTAATTAGGCGCTGCAAGGCCCCCAGCTGCCAAGCACAAATGCCAATTTATACGAGGTCTTAAAAACATAAAAAAGTCACTTTTAAAAAGCTTAAAAAGTTTTGCTGCCGCGTGTCCTTTGTTTAATTAGTACACTGAAAAATTAGTCAAAAAAAATAAAAATAAAAATGAAAAAAAATCAACTAAATAAGAGAAAAAACGATGATCACATAAATATTTAAGCGGATTATGCGGCGATTTATCAAAAGCAATTAAAGAGCAAACCGAGAATGAGTTATTTTTATACGATTATTATTAAGTTTTATTTTTTGTATCGCTGTTGTTGTTGCTGTTGATTCGTGGAATGCGCTCTGATGACAAATAGTAGCAAAAATGTTGCGCCATCTGTTTTTTTTGAGGGGGAGAGGTAAAGAAAACAGCGGCGAGACAAAATGTTTATAATGCTGCTAAAAGCATGTCAGTACGAGTATCTCGCAGATACAAATCAGAAAGCGGCCGCTCAAGCAAAGTGGGCCACGATGCGGCAACCGCAACTAAATTCAGTGCAAAGAGCCAAGCAGGCTAACAGCCTGGTAGCCAGGTTGCCAGGTTTGCCTGTTAGCCAGGTTGCCAGGTTGCCAGTTGACCAGGTGACCAGATCAGGCGGCTATCTGTGTAGATCAAAGCCGCTTGAGAAATCTGTGAGATATACACAAGTATATTTAGCAGCTCCCGGTGGCAAGTGCAGGCCAAGTCTTTAGCTTAAATACTAATTACCCTATGGGGAGCTCACTCACTTGCTGCCTTATCGCCGCAGGAGCTACCATTTCAACCAAGTCGTGAGCTGCGGGCAACAATCTACTCTCTAGTCTCGAGTCTCTAGTCTACAGTTGTGCGTCGCTCGACGCGTCGTCAATATTTGTCAAACTGTCATTCGGTTTGACATTTACGTTTGATCAACACCAGGCTGCAACTGCTGTCCAGTGGTTGTTGCCCGTTGTTGGAAGCAGCTAGCTGCTGCTGCTTGCCACAGGAGCCGCTTACCGTCCGCTTTGCCTCGTTGACATGGCCAGATAAAAGCTAAAGCGAAAACTAGCCCAACATCGACTTTTTTTTATATATATTTTTTTCTGTTTTTCAATGTGAGGCAATTTAAAAGGCGACATATTAACGAGTTCGAGACACCGGCAACGACAACGTGAGTGTCGCTATTTTGCCTTGACGCGCTTTTGTTATACAATCTGCCTCACATAAGAGAGCAAGATGTGAGTCTGAAACTGATCCCAGCTAGAGATAAACATCTGTTGCAGCTGCTAAAGTAGAATATCTTTTACAGCTAACGAATGTAAGATAACAGACTGATTAGAGGGCATGATACTACTTATGTTAAGCAGTGTTTAAACTTCAGACTGAAGTGCATAATAATATAATACTAAAAGCACACGAAAGTATTATTTAAAATCACATTTATTTTGCTATTAGATGTAGCCAACGGCACCAATTGAATAAGGACAGGAGTAAT